AAGAAGAGGGCCAGAGTGCTCTTTAAGGCAGGGGTGGCGCCCAAGCATCACTGGTTTTGTGTCCTTAGAGAACCCAACAGGATGCTGAAAGATTACCTGAGCCAGTTGTGAGTTAACAGCCCCCATGACAGCATCCAGTACACGGTGACAAAGCCCTCTGCCCCCTGGTGACAGCGCAGGGGGTGGGGAAGACACACCCTCCGCCCCCTCCCCATGGTAACTGCCCCCAAGAAGGACACGACCCCCACTCCCGTGTGGAAGGCACCCCGCCCGTGGGGACAGCACCGTGGAGCTCACCCCCATTAGCATGGAGAAGACCCAGGTCTTGTAGCTGAGGCAGGGCGGGAGCCGCTTGGAAAACTGGAGGTCATTGGTCTGGGTGTCTGGCCGGCTCCGCTCCAGGGCAGGGACCCTGTCGTAACTGAACTCCTCCTGGTAAGGCTCCTCCCGGGTCATGGCGCCGGGGAAGGCGGCCACTGCCGCAGGGATGCGGCCACTGCCTTCTCGGACGGCTGGTCACAGCGCTTGGTCACAGATGGCAGAGAGGCCACGTCCCTGTCGCACGCTGGGGAAGGTCACCAGTGAGAGATGGCGCTGCACGGAACCCACCCTGCATCGATCGCTGCCCCGAAGTGAAGTCCCTCACACTGACCAGCAACCTCAGGTCAGCAGGCTGGCCTGATGCTCAGCCCCGCCCCACCCCCAGCCCTCAACAAATACCAAGTTTTGCACCAAAACCAAGATCAAAAGCCATGGCCACAGGGGCCATTCCCCTTAGTGGCCCTATCTCGTAGGGTGTCTGAGGCTGCAAACCTTCACCGGGCAGACAGCCTCATCTCCCTCCCGAGGGGCAGCTGGTGGATGTGAAAGGCCCGCCTTTTCCGTTAGCAAATGGATCTGGGCCTCTGCTCCCGTCCCTCCTGGAGCACTTCACCGGGGCACTTCCTGAGGGGAAGAGTGCCCGGGAGGTGACCAGACGAGAGCTTACCTCTGCAGAGTCCGGCTCAGAGAGCAGCTCTCTGGGTGAGGGGTAGAGGGGCAGGGGGCGTCACCGGGCCTCCTGGGCCTGCCCGCCTGGCGGCCAGTGCTATTCGCCAGGGGAATGAAAGCACGGAGCTCACTTGGCAGGGCTGCCTCCTGAATCCCAATGAGGCCTTCGCCCACCCGCACCCCTGGGCTCCATCCGCACAGAGCAGGTTCCCACCGGGGTGCACCTGTCCCGCTCCGTGGCCTCACTGGTCAGCAGAGCCTGGGCCTCTCACGGTGAGGCTGAGGGGGCTCTAGCGACAGAATCCCACAGGGCGCACGACCCCCCAGGCCAAAGCACTGGAGCCTTTGAAGCAGGAGGCTTGGCACCAAGGGCCTCAATGCTGGCGTGCTCCCAACCCCCTTGCTGGTTTCCCAGTGACCATGACAAGGGCGGCATCCTTCAGAGAGTGGGCATTTGCCCACTTGCCTTGGCAGCATGGCCAAGAGCTGCCCAGGATTCTGAGGCAGCCTTCCGGTGGGCAGTCCTGGCCAGGCTGGCGCGGCCTGCCAGGCCCTTTCTCTGCTCACTGGGCAGAGTGGGGGTGGTCAGCAGGCCCCTGGCCAGGCCTGGGCACCCTGACAGCTCCCACCCCCGCATCTTTTGTACCCACTGTAAGCACACAGCAGCTCATGCCAGAGTGTTGCCAGGAGGGAGGGCAGCTCCCAGTCCAGGAACCCCCCGAGACTGCCCCACCATGGTTTCTCTCCTGGTTACAGCCAGGAGAGAAAATCAATGAGAATCCTAACACACGTGCAACTGTTAGTTGCCGGCAGTTTCAAATTCATCCACAGCTTCTGGGACAGGAATTGGTCTGGCCATGTTGGCACCTGCCAGCAAATACCACCCAACTGCAGCTGCTGGCTATGTGCCCTTCAAGGGTGTCCTGGACGAGGGCTTAAAGGCAGTAGCCTTCAATCAGGGACCGGAGAGCCCGCCCCTCTGACCCCGGAGCCATAAACTGGGTCACTTGAGCTATTGTGTCCATCTGTCTTGGCAGTTCTCCACCTCGGCAGTGCTTTGGAACAAGCTCGCTCCTGCCTGGGCCGTCGAGTTGGCTCCAGCCCCAGTCAACCCCTACATATCACAGAATGAAACCTGGCCTGGCCTGCACCATCTCATTTAAGAAAACTATTTCTCCTAAATGTAGCCCTCTTGGCGTAGGGTTTACACATTGAGCTGTTAAACCTCACGGTCCACAGTTCAAAACCACCAGTCACTTTATGGGAGAAAGATGAGGCTTTCTACTCCCATAAAGCATTACAGTCATATTGGTTACCTGACATTATTTTAAACGCAACTTTGGTCCTTAAAACATCTGTAGCAATTGCATGATTCTTCTTGACATGATTGACCTATGGAATGATATGGCATGCATTAACTCCCAATTAATAAAAAATATATATATGAGAAAAAAATGAGTTACAGCATTGGAAACCCACATAGGCAGTTCTACCCCGTCCTTTCCGGGTCGCTGTGAGTCAGAAGGGACTCAGGATGGGGAGTTTGTTTTGGTCTGGTGTCCAGCTCCAAGGGGACACACTTCGGTTCGAGTTGCCTAGTGGCTGTAATGGGCCACTTGGAGGGCAACGGGCCAGTAGCCCGGAGGGGGTGGAGAGGGAAAGAGTGGCAGGATGCTGAACAGGGTGGGCGCAAAGGCCAGGCCAGAAGGGATGTGGGCAGAGGAGTAGGGGTGAGGCATGGAGGCAAGCAGCCAGGCAGAGTGGTGGCTACCTTGGCTTTGATCTGTGGCACGGCCAATGGAGAAGCTCTGAGCCAAGGACCTCTGGCCACTGGGGAGAACAGGTGCAGAGATGATGGGTTCACACAGGACAGGCACAGGGGGACAGGGTGGGGTGGGAGTCGGGGAAGCGGCTGTGGGTGAGAGGTGGCATGTGGACAGCTGTGGTGGTGACAGAGGAGGGGTCTTATTCTGGGTGACTTTGAAGAGCCACTGTGGTCATAAGACTTACCTAGGTCTACAACTGTGTAAGCCATTCCTTTTCATATACAACACACCCAAGCATCACTGGTTTTGTGTCCTTAGAGAACCCAACAGGATGCTGAAAGATTACCTGAGCCAGTTGTGAGTTAACAGTCCTGTCATGGTTCTAAAGATCCGAGCACTCATGGGGCTTGGTCAGTTTTGCTGGGTTTAAAATGAGCCACTTCAGACGCAAGAAGCAGGGTAGGGTGTCTCTCTACCACCCAGGTGGAGCCAGGAGCAGAGGATGCCCTTTACACCCCAAGATCCAGGAGGTGTAAAGGTGTCACTGCAGAGGAGCAGTGGCAGCAGCACCAAGGGTGTGAGACAGACAGCAGACCTCCTGGCCCTAGATGAGCAAAGGTGAGTACCTTTGGCCAAGAGGTAGGCTTGCAGAGTAGTAGCCTCTCAACTGAAGGTGCTAGAGATGAGCACCTTTTACTACACTGCCCCTGGGAGGGCAGAGGCCAACAGCCCACATGGTCCAGAGGCCAAGGATGAGTTGGGGAGGGCTGGCTGAGGAGAGGCTCCCTTGAGTGGAAGAACTGTATCCTGATCATTTCTGATGCGGAGACGTAATCTTTTAACTTTCAATAAGCCTCATAATCGTGAGTGTGGTCTGTGAATTCTGAAGCAGATGAGCCGCTGTGAGCCACCGTGAGCCTTTGAATCAGATGATCGAACCCTGCAGAGAATAGAGACTGATGTGGGAGGAATGACTGGTATCAAAAGTTGGCAAAAAGTTTGGAGGCTGGCCTGACCTCTGCCTCATAGCTGTCAGCCTTGGGCTGATGATGGGCTAGAGTCTAGCCGTTTAGACAGTCATTTCCCTGTGAGATCAGCGGAGGGGCCACACTCCATTCTCTAAAATCTGTTTTTAATCCCACCAAAGGGTAAACAAGTCACAAGAGGAATTAGAAACAGAATGAAAATGAAAAGACAACGTATCAAACCTTGTTAACGCTAAAGGGAAGTTTAAGTGCTGATATTAAATAAAGAAGAAAGTTCCCCAAGCCACTCCCTAAGCTCTCGTGTTGGGAAGCCATCCATGCCGGTGATGTTGTGGGCCATCAGGTCGGTTCTGCTCACAGTGGTCCTGAAGCCTCTTGACCAAAGCAGACTTGCCACACCTTCCTCATGCCCAGCTGCCCGTGGGTCCAACTTCCAGCCTTTCCATTCACAGCCAAGTAATTAGCCACGGTGCCCTCAGGGCTCCTTTAACCCAAAACCACACTCACTGCCAGCCTCACAGTGACCCTACAGGACAAGGGGCTTTCTGAGACCGTACCTCTTTACAGGAGCAGAAAGCCCCATCTTTCTCCTCAGTACTCTTTTAAGAAGCTTTGAAAAGCAAAATTTAAACAAACATAAAAAGAGTAGAATTAAGATCAGAGGTATAAATATCTAAAATTAGCGAGATTTTTTTTTTAAGATCACAAAAACTAATCAATTATTAACTGGACAGAATTTTTTTAAAAACAAGAAAGGTTTAAATTCCAATGTTAGGGATGAAAACGGTTCATGTAGAATCTACAAATATTAAATGTAATATAAATATGAAACATTAAAAGGATAATCAGGGTATATCAGAAACAACTGTACACCATTCAATTTGACAGCTTGAATGAAATGGGCAAGTCCCTTGAAAGTTACACGTCACCCAGGTGCACTCAACGTGAACTTGATAGCCAGCTCCAGAGACTGACTCTGTCATTTACAACCTTCCCACAAAGAAAGCGGCAGGCCTAATGAGTCCAAAAGGGTCCTGGAGGCATCCTGGTTACACACAGGGCTGCTAACAGCAAGGTCAGCAGTTCAAAACCACCTGCCACTCAAGGGAGCAAAATGGAGCCTCTACCCCTGCAAAGTCAGTCTTGGAAATCCACAAGGGCGGTCCCACCCGATCCTACAGGGTCGCTGTGAGTCGTTCCCAACTCGAAGGCAGACTTTGAAGGAACCTTTTAGACCAGTGGTTCTCAACCTTCCCAATGCCTCAACCCTTTAATACAGTTCCTCATGTTATGGTGAGCCCCCAACCATAAAATTATTTTTTTTGCTACTTCCTAACTGTAATTTTGCTACTGTTATGAATTGGGTGGCCCCTGTGAAAGGGTCGTTTGAACCCCAAAGGGGTCGAGACCCACAGGTTTATTGCCACTGCTTTAGACGGAAGAGAAAGGAGACATTTCACAAAGATGTCGAGACCAAGAGACTTCATTTGTTAAAAGGGAGTGGGAATTACAGACTAACATTCTCCTGAGCATTCATACAAAATCTTGAATTAACTTTTCCCAAATTGTCTCTCACAATGTGAGGGGGAATCAAAAAGCATTGCCACTGGGGTCCCAGTTTGTGCATGCACAGATTTATCCCAAACAAACGTGTTTCAACATTGTTGGGCAGGGAAACCCCAAGAGAACTGGTGCATCTGAACTGCGGTGCTGGCAGCGAACATCCAAAGCGCCCTGGACAAACATCTGTTGG